TACGTTAATACATACTCAAGTACACATGCATATAGTACTTTAATTAACTCACTCTCTTACTCATTCAATTACGGAAACGTGCATAATCAGCAAAAAAATTATTGCTTCACCGATCATCATATTTCCTGGTACTTAACTTCGTTCAATATACGCAGTAGTTGGTAAAAAAAAAACATATAAAAAGAAAGAAAGAAAGAAAAAAAGAAATAAAAGTTCTTTACCGATGAATCGATTAATGACGTTAATAAATTTGCATGCCTGATTATACACGCGTTCATGATTGCGTAAAAAATTATTGAAGAAAGAAAAGATTGAAAACAAATCATACGTGGAAAATAAAATGAATAAAAATCTAATAGAATGTTGTTTGAAAATTATTACAAAAATCAATATTCGATATAATATTTACGTTTAATATAATATATTTAATTATAAACAAATTCTTTTTGTTTTTGTGTTGAAAAACAAAAACGAATAGATAAGTACGAAATAAACATATAATCTAGATTTACATTTAAATAGATAATGAAACAAGTTATATGTATATATAGATTGCTTTTTGAATAATAATAATAATAATAAAAAAAAAAGAATGATAAAGATTTAATCCATCGTGTCCACTCGAATTAACATTTTAATTAACGACAAATGTTCAAAGAGAAGTGTCCTTGGTATAATTCAGAACTCGTGTCAGCAGTTTTAGAAGTTGAGATGATGGGATAAGGGTTCTATAATATTGTCAGGGAGACGAAAAGAATCGATTCGTGGGGTCGTCGAACTAATTATCTACGTTGTCGTTTATTAATACATATTGTTCATACTTAACGATATAGTCAGGTTCATTGTACTTCTAATTTTTATTTTTCATTCAATACAATATCTTTATTATTGTATTTTAATTAAAGGAATACGTAAAAAGTTACTAGATGAATGAAAAGTTTTATCAAATTGACCATAAATATAAATAAATAATTTAAAAAATATTTTAAAATATATTAATCTTCTTTTGAAACATACCAAATTAATTATTTTTCTATGCAGTAAAATTGCAATTGTAAAATTAAGCAATCTGATTGTAATAAAAGAGAATGTATAGGATTGATTGGTAAAATCACTAGACAATTTTTATAGCCTAACTTATTAAATTATTTCGCGATTAAATTTTATTTGTATAAACCATTTTTTGTTATATGAAACCAAATAACATTTTATTCGTTATTAAATATTTGACTACTAAATTCTAATATCGAGTGATCCCAAATTATTGAGGTTAACTCTAAAGTTACTAAGAGGATCAAAAGTTTCTAGATGAACGAAACGTTTTATCATATTGATCAAAAATAAATAGATAATTGATTAAAAAAATGTATTACTCTTCTTTTTTGAAACATATTCAATTAATTATTTTTGTATTCAGTAAAATTGCAAGTGTGTCTTGTAAAATTAAGCAATCTAATTGTAATAAAAAAATGTTTAGGAACAAGTAATTGATTGGTAAAATCACCAGACAATTTTTAGCCTAACTTATTAAATTATTTCACGATTAATTTGAATTTGTATAAACAATTTTTTATTATATTAAACTAAATAATCTTTTATATTCGATATTAAATATTTAACTATTAAATTCTAATATCGAGTAATCCCAAATTATTTAGGTTAAGTCTAAAGTTACTAGGAGGATTAAAAGTTTCTAGATGAACGAAAAGTTTTGTCAGATGAGTTAACAATTCTTAGATAATTGTAATAATTAATTACCCTTTCTTTTTGAAAAATATTAAATCAATTATTTATGCACATATTATAATATTACAAACCAAATTGAAAATATAAAAAGTTTATAAAAATAAAAGAAGTAATTAATTGGTGAAATCACTTAACAATTTTTAACTCACCCACCATGCATCCCGCCTAACAAATTAATAAATTTGAATGCGTATTCTGATACAAACAAAAATCCTATATCGTTTTAATTACGATAAATCGATTTCTGTAAAGCAAACAATTCAAAATGTAAATCAATGTTAAACAATTCGTTGGAATATAAACATGAAAGAAAATTTAATTTCTGCGAGAAGATAAATTAAAGAAGGAAAAAAACAATGTACAATTTAATGTATAATTTGGATATTTGATCAGACAATTGTTTTTATCCATTTGACACGCAAGTTGATTGATAAACCATTGAGGTATATATAAAAAAAAAATATGTATACACGAAAGTAGATAGAAATTCGATCAAACGTTACATCGATGGTTCGAAATAATTACTACGAACTGTTTGATGTGTAATTAATTAATACCTAAAATACATTGCATTGTATACCCAATCGAAATAACACAAAACTGAAAGAGAAAGATAAAAACATATATTTAAACGGATCGATGTTTACGATTAATTTATTATAAAAAGTAAATTTAAAAAAAGAAAAAAAGGAAAGAATAAACGAATACAAGGACGTATTATAATTATCTTCTATGTGTAATAATCTTAGCAAATTAAACTATGATCTTTGAACGGTCAGTTGCAACATTGTCAATATTTACTGTATTAAGAATAAAAAGTACTATCATTGAAGAGATAAATTATTTAAACTTACGATGTAAAACCAATTTTTCCTCATGACTTGCTTTAGAAACAATATTGTAAAAACAATTGGAAATAATCCAATCATCGTATATCATCGTATAAGTGAAAAAGTTTTGAATGAAATTGAACGTAGCGAAATAATTATCATACATGACATACACATATTTTCTTATTTGTCTAACATTATCTGTAACACATTAATCATGTCTCTGAAAGGTACTTATTTTGTTTTTTATATATAGACATTACAATTTCATGTATTTTTATCTTAGTTGTGTGATAAGATTATTAGAAGTATTTGATATGAATAAATGTATATTGAAAAGTTCATTTTTAAAAGTTCTATAATTTGGAATAGAAATATTATCATCAATATATGATTTCAAATATATAATTATTAACGATAAATTAAATTATTATTATTATTATCTTATTAATCAAATATTTATTTTTTTTGTAACGAAATAATATGAATTAAAATGAACGAATAATATTTTCATATATTTTATATTAGACAAAAAAAAACTACTCACATAAAATATACATTTATAATTAAATTATTAATTATTGAAATGATTAAAATTTATTTCTATGAAAATAAAATGTCGATACAATTATCTAGATTAAATTTGATAATACATAAATTAATAAAGAAATTGTATGCAACATGATTAAACAAATATATAAATTTAATTGGTATTTTGTTTACCATGAAATCCTCCGACTAAATTCACAAGGAGAGTTCGTACTTCTATATCTAGACAATACTTGGTCAAACACCTAGACAAGAGCATGGAATACTAACTAGTTTCAAATTTACTAGTAGAATAGACAATGCAAGATGTCTTCCATATTTGATATACTCTATCATCCTAACAACGTTACAATCGAATTTACAATAACTTTCTATAATCAAATAAAATTACAAATAAAAAGAAACGAACACCCAATTGTTTAATATAAAAAAAAAAAAATTGTAATATTAAAAATTCAATTGACAATTCATTTGACACAAAATAAGAATCGAAAAACAATGCAATACTCGACGTATTCGGTATTTGGTATCGTATCGAATGAAAATTAAAGAAAAAAAAAGAGAAAAAAGAACGGAAACAAGTAATGGGGAACAGGAGTAGGTTTGAGAAACCAAAAAAAAATAAAAAAACGATCGAGATAACGAAGAACAGGCTTATGTTAACCGACGAAACGTCGATGTTCACCGCAAGAGGTATTTCTCGATCTTGCGTAAACGAGTTGGTAGGAATGATGAGAACGATGTAAAAGAAAGAGAGAGAGAGAAAGAAATATCGTGGGTTGAAGTGAAGACTGATGGGAGAACGAGGGGCAGGGGGGTGGAGACAGGAAGGAGAAGTAAAAAGAGCAAAGAGTATGGTGAGTGGTTCGCATCGATTACGACACGCGACGGAGTAACAAAGACAAATGCAAGTCTAGTAAAAAATAGAAACGATATAAATAAAAGAAATAGAAATAGAAAGAGAGAGAGAGAGAGAGAGAGAGAGAGAGAGTAAGTTTGAATAAGAAAAAGTGAACACACAAGTAAATGAGTAAGAGTGAGAAAAAGTGAGATAAAAATAACAAAGTTTATGGGTGTAAGAGTGAAATAACAAGTGTGTATGAGTGAGAGAGAAAATAATACGAGTGTATGAGAAAGAAAATGAGCAGGTATGTGTACGAGTGAGAGAGAAAGAATGATTCGAATCCAAAGGGGTCTGGATAAGTAAGAGAGATAGAATGATTCGAAGTCTCGTATGTGTGTGAGTGAGAAAGAACGAATGGTTTTATCTGTGTGGGAAGATTCTCAATAATCCCTCTCTCTCTCTCTCTCTCTCTTTCTCATTCCCTCTCTCTTTCTGTGCTACAACGCAGACGGATAGTCAGGCAAGCACGCACGTACGCACGCGCACGCGCACTGCGCTGCACTTTCATACTATGCGAAGTCATAGAACCGATAGGAACAGAGTGATCTGGGGCTCTTGAAAATTTCGCGTCGTCGCATTTAGCTCGTTACTGTTCTCTTGTAATAAAGTTCATTTTGTTGTTGTTGTTATTGTATGTAGTGTTCCTGTTGTTATCATTATTTCCTCTATTAAATTTTGATTCCTTCATAATATATTTATTTATATTCATTTTATTTTATCATCATGTGCGAAACACATCTGTTTTCAACGATAGTAATGTCCATAATTGAATATCGTTAACAATTCAATTACTTAACACCTTATTTATTAGCATACACTAATAATAAAGATTCTAATTCTAATCTCATTTTGGAAGAACATCATCAATTCGATTATTATGATTATTCATGAATAATAATAATAAGTGTTTTTGTTAGAATCTAATTATATTTTCTTTTGTCGATTATATTATTTATTATTTTGTTACTTACGGTTTATCCGGTTGAGATTTTCTGACTAGTTGTTCAGCCTTTTGTATTTCCTCAGCATGAGTGACACTTTTGGTCCTTCTCAACCTAACCCTACTATCGTTCTCGTGTTCTGTGGTCATGTTACTTGGTTCGTTTCCTTACTTCCTTCTACGTCCCTTTACCAGTATCCAGTTCAAGTTGTTGTTGCTTTTGATACTGCTGCTGCTGCTGCTGCCACTGTAGTTGTTGTTGTTGTTGTTGTTGTTCAAGTTACAAAATGACTTTAACTAATTCTCTTATGGTTAACTACAGAGGGAATACTAAATTCTACAAGTTTCTGGTTCGATTATAAACACACCTTAGATGAAATTTAAAACACTGTGTTGTTTTAAACTAAAACACACATATACACACACATCAGAGACACGTTACATTAAAACAAGTTTTTTAATGCTTGACACTAACACACACACACACACACAAAACGAGATTTTACTTTTAAACGCGCGACCGTACGATTATCGTGTCACTGTTCGAGACTCTCCCGTTCTGTTAATATGTGTTCTACTCTTTATGTGTATGTGTGTATACATATATATGTATATATATATATATATGTGTGTGTCTGGTGAGGTATAAGAAAGAGAGAGAGAGAGAGAGAGAGAAAAAAGATAAATAAAGATAGACGATAAAAACGCGTAATGTTTATAAATTATAAACAAAAAGGAAATAATAATAATAATAACAATAAACGAAATTATTTGAACGAAACGAAATCGATATTATCCTTGAATAATTGAACTCGTGATTATATTTTCAAACGCGTTTCAAATTAAATATCTATTCTTATATTCGATATAATACCATCTCTCCCTTTCTTTACACTCGCTCTATCTTTCTTTCCTTCTATTGCGCATGCGCAATAAAAACCAATAGCAATTTTACCGGCGTCGCCGCCGTGTTACTTCGTTGCTCACTTTTAACTTAATCGAATTTCTTTTTTTCTCTTTGTATACTTCTCTCTTTAATAATTTTTTTAAACAATTGATTAAACGATTGTTTAAGAATCGTTTATTATTTAAATTATTATTATTATACGTTTTTATGTTTAATTAATGTTCGATATTATGTGGAAGATTAAAACGTGTACGCGATCCTTTTCAATCCGTTGACGAACTAACACTATCTCTGTGTTACGATGTTCTCAATGTGAAATATCATGTATTTATGATCTTCCTCTCTCTCTCTCTCTCTCTCTCTCTCTCTCTTTCTCTCTCTCTCTCTCTCTCTCTCTTTCTCTGTCACTCTCTGTCTCTCTCTTGTTGATAATGGATATGATTCAGACGACTTTTATTATTGTATTAGCCAAGAAGTTACACGTGTATATACATATAAACGGATTTTTTGTTATCTCGCACATTAGAAAAAATGTCAACGCGTTTTCTTTCTTTTTCTTTTTTTTTTTTTTCTTTTATTTTCTACATTTGTATTTGTAAATTATATTTATTTGAAATATATAAGGATTTTTATTGTTCGTGAGAGATTTGTTTGATTTTAAATAATATATAATTTTTATTAATTTTGTAAATTAATATATTTGATTTATATATTTGTTTAATAATTATTTTAATATTGTTTTTTCAATTCAAAGTTCTGATAATTTATGATTATAGTACAATTACGAATTTGTTTCAAAAAATCATACAAAATGTTTTTCTTTACGAGGAAATAAATTTTAGTGAAGAAAAAAGGAAAAGCGAAAAAGTAACGTTAACGCTATTAAAATATAATTTTCATGAATTCTCAAGAGAAGAATATATAATCGCATAAATTTATCATCAATCAACTGATCTGATATAAGAACAATGTAAAAATAATAAATATAATACGAAAGATCGAGAATATATTTTTAAAAATTAAACAAAAAAAACCTATCGTACAAATTTTTCATTATTATTCAACTCGTAATCGAATAAATTTTAATAATTATTAATATTATTTACTGATTACATGTCGACGTAAAAAATTTCATTTAATACCAACACTTAACCTCAAAGTTTACGAGAATGAAGGGAAAACAAAAGAAAAACAAATGAATAAAAAATAAAATATTATAGACTTCAAATAGTTTTATTATTTTGAAAGAGGAATAAAAAAAAAGAAAGAAAAAATAACAGTACTGCGATCATCTTCCTCGATTAAAATAGGTAATTACAGTTCATAGTAATTCTCTTCTATGGTCTGAGGCTCACGTTTTACGATAGTTGTTACGGTTTTGATGGTCTTCTGTGCTAGTTTTAAGGATGATAAAAAGTAACGAGACGACGTTTTATACTTTTTTTTTATTTCCGAATGACTAAAACGTTGGTCAACTGTATTCTCTTTTTTTATTATTTTATTTTTTCTAAAATCTGCATCATATTAAACAATAAATTATTGATCTTGTAAACAACCTCGCGAATTATTAACAGTAAAGAATAATTCTTTTTTGTTTTTTATTATTAAATATATATATATAAAACATAAAATTTAATTAATGAATTTTTACAAACAATCGAATATAATATGTATTGTTTAAATAATTTTTATTTTAACCAAATCTTGCAACATTCAAACTTATTAGTATAGCAAACCACAAGATGAAGTGTATACCAAGGTAGTATAGTTTGTACTCGATCAAGTATTCGATGAAAGAGAGACAGAATAAGAAACAGATAGAGAGAGAGAGAGAGAGAATGGGAGAGAATGGGAGAGAATGGGAGAGAAATGGAGAAGACCAACGCAAAGTTTATCGAGCTATCCGTTAGCAGAGTGTCAACGTTTCTAGAACGTCACGTAGTATGTTCAGGATGGTTTCCTGTTTCTCAGTTTCGTGTCTCAACTCACGTTTCACGCGACTATTTGCTGAAAGGAAAGAAAAAGGAAGAAAAAAACAACGAAAAAAAAAAAGAATAAAAAATAAAAAGAAATAACGAAAGTATTACTATATAATATTATATATTACTATTTCTACCAAAATGTTCTACGAAAATGTATGCCCTTTTCATAAAATTCTTTCGTAAAGTCCCTTTATGACCACAACCTAAGATATTTCCTGTTCAACTCTCCACACTACTGGGTGTCCTTAAATATTACTAATCAACTATATAAATGATGATAGTTTGAACAGTTTTCAAAGTAAAATCAAATTTATTAAATTGAATTAAAATATTTCGAGAGTCTAATTATATATTAAGAAAATTTTTCAATGTAAAAATAAAAAACAATTCTTCTAGATTTTCATTTCTTATAATAATAATAATAATAATAATAAAAAAAGAAAAAACAAAACACTAATAATCATGAAAAATTGTTTAAAATTCTACTTCAACTAGAATCCCCATTAACTTTGATACATTACTATTGGGGTACCCTGTATATGCAATTACACATAACCTTATGCATTTTTCTTTCTTATTTTTATTTCCAACCGTCATCCCTCATCCCCTATTCACGTCCCCTATTTCCTATCCCTTTCTCCTTCCCACTTTCCCAATATACCCTACAACTAACCCCTTCTTCTTACTGTTTCCGTAGGAAAGACATTTACACGCGACATAGGAAATAAAAGTTCGTTGAATTCGTGCGACTTCCTAAGGTTTTTCCTTTTCGCGATGTTATACTTCGTGTTCAAAAATAAGAGTGTCTGGTCTGACGTGACGTAATATACCATGACATAGAACCAGTTGCGGTGTATATCCATAATTTGGAAGAAAATTTAGAGGAAAATTTAGAACGCGTTGAAACGACGACGTAACACGACGACTATTACGATCTAAACGATGTTCTAGTAGAAATAGTAGTAGTAGTAGTAGTAGTAGACGACGGAAGAAGGACACGTTACGGTACTAATATTTCAAAGCTTGGGGGTTGGTACTTCAGTGAGTCGCCAACGCTTCGGTAATAGTACATGTAACGTTTTGCTATGACATAGAAAATGTTCCTCTGCCAACTTATCCTCAAGAATCAAATATACACATATATATTTATATATACAAACACACACACACATTTATATATGTATATGTTGGATGTATATGTGTAACTAAAAGGATATCTGTGCCAAGTTCGATGAATAAAATAACTGTCCTTGTATTATGAGAAAGTAATAAGAATATTAGATTGGAATGATATTGAAGACTAGTTTTTTGAAAAAGATGATAGAAATGGTTGATCAATAATCAGATAATACTCAACCGTTTAGAATGAAAATGTTGACATTAATAGGTCCAATAAATAAATTAATTATTATTTTCAATATTGTTTAGTATATATGCAAAAATAATAATAATATAATACAGGAGTATGAGATTGGGATCATTATTCGTGTAATTCGTTCAAACCTAACCTCATTGATTATAAAATAATACTTAAATTAATAAATCTTTTTATATTACTAAACAATTCAATCAGACAAAATATTACTAGATACAATAAATCACAAATAATTTCTTATTATAATATTATTTAATATTACATTTATTACTCTTCATTTTAGAGGTTAGAAAGTTCGATAATCCTTATATAATATTCTTTAAATATTATTTAACATACCCAAAAACAATAATACTATATATAATATACGAATAAAATCAGAATAATTTTACTAATAATCAATTGAAACCTAAACACATTAACAAATCAAATACATAAACTATTATATATATATAACTCAGATAAATAGATAATACCTTAATAGAAAGGATTAGAAATATGAAAGAAGTTATCAACGTTGAAATAAGAATTCTTTTGTATTGTACAATATATAATATAAGTATATCGATAAAGACGATCAAGTACACTATTATAGTAAGATATATATAGAGAGAGAGCTTCGAAAGTTTAGCAATATTGGTCTATACACCTTCATCCTGGGATTATTGGGCCGTTGTCCTGTAAACCATCCTAGAGCGGATTCGGTCACCAGCTAGATCCGCGGTGATCCACGTTTCGTATTCAACAACAGTCCAACCCAAACATGATATGGCTAGTCCCTTCTCTTTCTCTCTCTCTAACACACACACACACACTCACACTATCTCTCTCTTTCTGTAATGTGAAATACATTCTCGATATCATCACTCATTGTTTGTACAATATTACCATAATCACATCTTATATACCTACATATATATAAATGACTATGCACGTTCTTATTCCAAAAGTATATTTGAATCTAACCTATAATATGCTACCACATTTATCAAGTAAATAAGATACCTGAAGAACAAATTTGCTATTAAAATTAACCGTGTGTCAGAATTTACATAAAAATGTTTCATTAGAATGTTACGTTGAAATATTATTTATAACGTATAAGTTTAAACCGTATAATAATCATAATAAGTGCAACGCGTTTTTCTTATTGGGAGTCACTAGTGACCCCCCAATGGCATTCTACGTATTAGACGAATACAAAGTGCAATAAATAATCTGAAATATAATATCTTTTCGTATTAAATCATGATATTAAAGTATTACAATTTCACGCAGGATTTGACACTTATGAGTGAGTAGGGTAACCATTAAAAAAATAATGAAAATGAATAAA